GGCGGCGGCTGGCCGCGTGCCCCGGACCCCGAGCAGCCAGGTCGCAGCGCCTCGGCCCTTCGTGACTCGCTCGTGGCACCTGCGGGCCCTGGAAATTGGGTGGACTGAGCGGTGGCGTTAACGGGGATAGATAGGGGCGGGCCTTATCCGGGGGAAGCCTTCGCTCGGAAAGTGAATGCAAGTTTTGCTCAGCAACATTCGCCTTCTGCACAAAAGCTATACGTGTTGGCACAAACAGCGTACGCGCTGGAAATGTATAAAGAAAAGGTGCCTGTGGAAATAGGAACCTGGCTATGGATGTAATTAGTGAAAAAAGTCAACTCTGCACACCCTTTTTTTGTGATTTACAAGTACGAGACCCAGCTTTGATGCCGAGAAACTAGCTCTAATGTTGAGCGTGCCTCACAGTAAGAAATGGTTTACTTTATAGAATAGAACACAATTGTTTGGATTCACACAACATGCTAAACCAGAGACGGACAGCTTGATGCCCCTTGGGGCTGCACGTGGTCCTTCATCCCATATTTTGTGGCCCCTGATGATACCTCCAGGATTTCCAAAAATAGTTAGCATGGACATTTATTTATTTATTTATCAAATTTATATAGCCACCCATCACACGTATGTGACTCTGAATGGTGTACACAATTTCAAATTAAAAAAACAAAACCTTAAAAACCATTAAAAATCATTAAAAACATAAATATACTGTAGACTAAACCACAGGGAAGTGCACTCAAGATCTCACATACAAAATAGTCAATTCGTGGGCTCCCTATTTCCATGGGATCCCCAAGCCTGCTGACAGAACCAAGGTTTGGGGATTTCTGGAAAGTCAATAAGGTCAGGGCCAATTTCATCTTCGGTGGGAGAGTGATGTTCGAAAGGGCGGGTGCAACTGCAGAAAAGGTTTGCCTCCTGGGTCCTATCAGATGGAACTCCTTAGCAGAAGGGACCCATAATGTGCCCCTCCTGCTGGACCTGATGGGACAGGTAGATGTAATTGGGGAGAGGAGGTCCCTCAAATCACCTGACCCCATGCCATCTAGGGCTTTAAAGGTCAAAACCAGCATCTTGAACCTGGAAGCAAGTTGGCAACCAATGCAGCTCATGGAGCAGAAGTATTACATGTGCAGTTCTAACACATAACTGCCCATGCCACCACATTTTCCATCAGTTGAATTTCTGGATACTCTTCAAGGGCAGCCCCATGCCGAGTGCATTACAGTAATCCATTTGCGAGGTGACCAGGGCATGAGTAATTTTGCTATTTTTAGGTGGGAAACACCCCAAAATATAGTATGTGCTCTAAAATGGAATTAGGATTCTATGTTATAAATGATATAACTTACAATTCTATATAAAATTAGGATTTTACATTACACACCAAATTCACTCCCTCAAAAAAAGAATAAAAAAAACTACTCCACCTTTTTGGCATCCTCATCCCACCCAAGCTGTCAAAAGGATAGATACTCTGTGCCTGCTCATAATTTATAATTCACAATGAACAATAGTTAGGATTTTACAACATACAATGCCAAAATCAAACAAAACACATTATGGGAAAGTTGGGATGTTCTACATACAAAGCATGAGCATGAAACTGAGCAAACTCAGGGAGGCAGTGAAGGACAGGAAGGCCTGGCGCAATATGGTTCATGGGGTCACGAAGAGTCGGACACGACTTAACAACTGAACAACAACAACAACATACAAAGCAAGTGCTAAATCACTGAGTCATATTCAACTATGCTTCCCCCTATATACACAGGATGTAAAATATAACTATAGCTATTTTAGTTTTTAACCCAAATTCACTCGGATAACAATAGTCAGAACCAAAGAAAACATTGCTGCACTTAGAACTTATTACATCATCATCATCATCACAAAAATATGGTTAGATATAGTGCTTTAACACAAAGAAACTTTCAGAACTTCAGAAACCTGACATTAGTAATATGTGGGACATTCTCAAGTACAAATTCAAATGTTCCTTTCCATGGAAATCTTTAATATGTGATTTATGTGATCTGAAGAGAAACCAGAGTATTGGTAATATGTGAAAGAAATTGAGTTATGACTCAAGTGGGCTGAAAAAATTGGAACTCTCCCCTCTCCCCCAGCAAAATGAAAAACAAAACAAATACATATAAAATAAAATAAAATCAGAAAGTTGATCCTCAGATTTTACACAGAACGATTTTAATTAAAGAGGTCAACAGAGTGAGACTCCAGGATCATGCCACCACCTGCCCTTTAAGTTTTAATAATAAATCAGAAATACCCTGCAGATAAATCTTATATACATTATTTTTTAAGGGATGTTAACTCTTCACTTCCATTTCAGGTTGCAAAATATCTTTATCAAGCCACACAATTGTGCAAAGCGTTGGCTCAAATACATTGTTCTATTGTTTTATGACAATAGGATTTTGGAATGAATTATAAAAAATAAATAGCTTCTTATGGGAACCATAATTATTTTGGCTATCTTGGCTTATAACAAAGATAAGCGACTTCATGATTTTAGAAACTGGATGCTAGAGGAGACTAAAGATTCTAAGTAGAAGGGAAAAAAATACAAGTCTGCTTTGGATGTCACTTAACTGGGACTTACAAAATTATACAAAATGTCATAATATTGGAAATATTAAAGGAAATCTTTGAAGAACGGAGCCAGAAATTAATAGCTACAATATCAACAGTGTCAGTAATGATGTCTGATTCAATGGATAGATTATGTCCAAAAGATGTTAATGAGGATGTAGATGTGGAGCAAATTTTGTCTGACAAGACAGAAAGTGCAAAAATGGAACTACAAATGATAGGCCAAGAGAATGATTTGGAAAAGGATGCTTTATTGGATATACAAAAGAAACTGGCTGAAGCTTTGAAAATTAAAGGGGAAATACAAGCGATCAACCATGAGAATTACTTGGGAAAAGTTTTCTTATTGTATCTACAAAAGAGGGATAAAGTCTGTGCGATGGGATAAAGAAGAATTGAAATCAAATCCAACAATATTTGAATGAACTAAAGATTAAGACTGTTAGAAATAAAAGGAAGTGATATAAAGTTGGTTTATTTGATCAAGGTTAAAATAAGACATTTATTTCAAAGTTCTGGCAACCCTTTATGGACTTTTTGCTGACACCAGGATTTAATAGTTGATGTTCTATGGATTTACTTATAAGGGATGGGATATGGGATGAAGAGGTATCTGTTTGTAACCTTATAGGGGGTGAAGAGTTACTAAATTTGCCTATACTTGTTGAAATTAAGGTTGGAAGTAATTTCTTTTTATCATATTCTTTCTTTTCTCTTTCTCTTTTTCTTTTTTCTTGCACTTTTTATTCTTTCTTATCCTTTTTTCTTTCTTTAAGTATAGTTTGTATTAGTTTTTACTATTGTAATCAAAATCCTTAATTTAAAAAATGTATGTATGTATGTAGCAATGGAGGCAAATATCCAGATAAGCAGAGGTCACCACCAGGCACACAATCAAGCAGACAACATACGCTAATCAATGAACTACCAGAAGAGCAAAACAGAACCCCCACCCCCACCAGCA